GTAAAAGAGTCCGTGGTGGTCTTACCACCACCCAGAGACCTTACAGGATTCAGACTTTTCATCAACTCCTTTCCGAGTCCAAAACCAGGAAGTCTAGACTTCGAAGTGGAAATACAACCCAGGTACTACAGAAACGGAAAACGCGTCCTTGCGAGCTGCACTCCGAACCTGGCAGAAAGGAGACTCACTCAGAGCCCTCTGTTGCCCCTTCACCCTAGTCTGGAAGAAATGAAGCTCTTAATGTGGAATGTGAGAGGTGCAGGTAGCTCTGCATTTCGTGACCATCTCCTTCAACACATTAACACTCACAAACCTGGCATTGTCTTGGTAGTGGAAACTAGATTAAGTGGAAGCAGGGTTGTAGAAGTTTGTGAAAGCCTCTCGTTCACCAACTTCCGAATCCAAGATGCAAATACATTCAAGGGTGGACTGTGGCTCCTGTGGAACGGGGCTGAGGTCAACGTCGAGCCTATCTCCAGCAATTTCCAAGTCATCCATGCAAACATTAAGGTATCTCCTAACACCTCCCCTTGGTTGCTTAGTTGCATTTATGCTAGTCCTAAACTCGAGGAACGCTTGCTTCTATGGGAGCACCTTAAAAATCTGTCTTCCTTAAATAATTTGCCTTGGATGTGTATTGGTGACTTTAATGAACTGCTTGCTCAACAAGATAAATTAGGAGGTAACCCTATTAACAGATCTAGAGCCTCAGCTTTCTGCTCTGTAATTGAAGCGTGTAATCTCTTAGATATGGGCTTTGTGGGCCCAAGATTCACTTGGGTTTGTAAGAAAAATAATTCTTTCATCTATGAAAGATTAGATAGAGCCTTCTGCGACCCTTTGTGGAGAAACCTTTTTCCTAAAGCGTCGATCCAGCACCTAGCCCGCACTAGATCTGACCACTGCCCACTCATAGTCAACCTCTATCCTCAACCTCCAGACCTTTCTATTAAGCCTTTTCGTTTGGAAAAATTTTGGCTTTCTCACCCTTCTTTTCCAGATATCATCAGAAATAACTGGTCTTCCCCTCCAACCCCTGTTACTGAGTCTATTAAATGTTTCACTGAAGCCACCAGGGTTTGGAGTAGAGTCTCTTTTGAAAACATCTTCCACAAAAAAAAGAAAATCCTCAATAGACTAGTAGGGATCCAAAAATCTCTTCAATATCACCCTTCCGTCTTTCTATCCACTCTGGAAAGCTCCCTCACAGCCCAGCTGGAAGACACTTTAAGGATGGAAAAAGACCTTTGGCTTCTTAAGTCAAGAACTGATCATCTCATCTGGGATGACCTGAATGTTAAATTTCTGCAGACCACAACCATTGTGCAGAGGAAAACAAACCGAATTCTTGCTATTAGAGACCTTGTTGGTAACTGGATCACTGAAGATCTTGCTATCAAACGTCACATCCACTCTTTTTTCACCAACCTTTTCACCTCTGACTTTGTAGAAGTCAGCCTCTAACCTGAACCATTTCCTGCACCCCCTCTTACGCTCTCGCCTAGTGAAACCCAGCTTTTTAGCCATATCCCTTCCAGCCAAGAAATCAGGAAAGCCTGCTTAGATTTCAAGCCCTTTAAGGCTCCGGGACCAGATGGACTCCACGCCTACTTCTACCAAAAATTCTGGACCCTACTGGAAAACTCTATTGTTCAGTTTATCCAAGATGCCTTCAACCATTTACCTTTTCCTCAAGGTATTAATGATACTTTCATTTGCTTAATCCCCAAAACTGATTGCCCTGAACTCATTCAAAATTTTAGGCCTATTAGTCTGTGCAACTCACTTTACAAGATCCTCTCTAAAGTGATTGTAAACAGACTCAGACCTTACCTGGCTAAGGTTATCTCCCATTTTCAAACTAGTTTCCTACCTGGAAGGAGCTGCTCAGATAATGTCAAATTAGTTCAGGAAGCCATTTTCAAGATTAAATCAAAAAAGGCACAAAGAGTCTTTGTGCTATTAAAATTGATCTTGAAAAGGCTTTTGACAAACTTGAGTGGCACTTCATTAGGGAAACCCTGGTCTTCTTTGGCATTCCTGAAGCTCTCACTCAAGTTATCCTCCAATGCATTTCCTCTCCTAGGCTTGCTGTCCTTCATAATGGTAAGCTTATTGATTGGATCTCTCCTTCAAGGGGTATTAGGCAAGGAGATTCCATCTCCCCTTATTTATTTATTATGTGCATGGAATATCTCTCATTATCCATAAACAAAGCTATCTCTGAAAAGAGATGGAAGCCTCTATCTTTTGGTCCCAACACCCCCCTGTTATCTCACTGCATTTTTGCGGATGAAATCACCTTGTTTGCTGAAACTAACCCAGTATCCATACTTTCCATCCACAACATCCTGGAAGATTTTTCCCTTCGATCTGGCTTATCAATCAATCGTCAGAAATCAAAAATTCTCTTTTCTCCTAATACCCCCCGGATCTTAGACTGTCTACAGTCAATCAATTAGGCTTTTCTGAATCTCATGAGTTTGGAAAATACCTTGGTTTCCCCATCTCCGGGGATAGGGTTAGCAGGAACCAGCTAAATTTCATTTTAGACAAGATAAAAAAAACTCGCAGGATGGAAGGCAAGCCTCCTCTCTTTTGCTAGAAGGAAAGCCACAATCCAGCAAACTACTATTGCCATTCCTGTTTTCTACTCCCAATGCACCCCTCTACCTGCCTCTCTCTATAATGACATTGACAAGGAGCAAAGAAACTTTCTTTGGGGCTCTACTTCCCAAAAAAGGAAGCTTCACCTGGTCTCCTGGGAAAAAATTACCAAACCTAAAGACCTGGGAGGATTGGGAGTCAAGCAATCTGCCTTAATTAATAAGGCTTCAATGGCAAAATTCTGTTGGCAGCTTCAAACAGAAACCAAGAAGCCTTGGGCACAAATCATTTCCCGCAAATACCTACCCAAATTCCATCCCACCCCATTCCTTGATTGGAATCCTGTTAGACACAGAGGCTCGGTAAATTTCAAATGCATTCAACAAGGCCTCCCCTTGTTCAAAGGTGGCAGCTCTAAAGTTATCAAAAGTGGAGCAAATACACTTGTTTGGCATGATAAATGGCTCCCCCAAGGTACCCTCAGATCCCTGATCCATGGGCCTTTGACCTTGGAAGACCACTCTATGCTTGTGAAGGACCTATTCAATTCCCTTGATGACTGGAATCTGGAAGCCTTGTCTATGGTGCTTCCCTAGGATCTAAGCCAAAGGATTTCTGCCATCCCACGGCAGAATTACAACCCCACTCCCGATACCATTAGATGGGGGCATTCCCTTAATGGTAGCTTCTCCTTCAAATCTGCCTACTCCCTAGCTTTTCTCCAAAAATACCCAGACCCAACCGCGCCTAATCTCTCGTGGATCTGGTCTCTGCACGTCCCCACAAAAATTAAACACTTCCTTTGGTTGTTAGCTCAACAAAGGATTCCCACCAAGCAACACCTCTTCGATCGACATATCATCCCTGACACCTCTTGTTCTCTCTGTAACCATTTCTCAGAAGATGCTGAACATGTGGTGAGAGGATGTCCCCGAGATAAAATCCAGGCCCCCTTCCTTCACCGCCCTTGGCAACCTTTCAACATTTGGCTCCTTCAGAACTGCAAAAACTCCTCCCCCTCCTTTTACGGTTCCATTTCTTGGAACGTTTTTTGTGTTTTCTCTTGTTGGGTTCTCTGGAACAATAGAAACAAACTTTTGTTCGAACCCATTAGAGCATGGAAATTTCCTCACGTTCAGGCTCTAAATCTTGCTGCTGAATTTGTCGCAATTGGTCCAAGCCGCTCTCCCCTTCCCCTACCTAAAAGCCAGGTCCTCATTGGATGGACTCCACCACCTAGAGGATGGCTTAAATTGAATTCTGATGGATCCTGCTCACCCAACCCTGGCCTCGGGGGATGCGGGACCCTGATACGAGACCATCTTGGTACTTGGATTAAAGGGTCGATTCGAAAGCTCGGCCACACCAACAACCTAATTGCAGAATGTTGGGCCATCAGAGATGGACTCGAAATCGCAAGATCATTGAATACCCAATGTCTGATTGTTGAATGCGACTGTGAAGTTGTCCTTAACATGCTAAACAAGTCAATTCCAGAAGGTCATGACCTTGCTCCTATCTTAAATGATTGCAGGCACCTTCTCTCTAATTTCCAGCAAGTGCAAGTAAAGCACATCTACAGAGAGGCGAATAGAGGAGCAGATGCACTAGCAAAGTTGGGTGAAAAGCTTTTGTGTCCCTTTTCACTACTAGATTCATGTCCGCTCAGTTTAGGATCTATTTTGTCTGATGATTTGAGGGGAGTCTGTTTCCCCAGATACATTGCTAAGTTGTAACCTTTCCTTATTATTTTATGCAAGTCTTTCCTACCAAAAAAAAAAAAAGTTAAAGAAAACACACCAACTGAAAGGAAAGAGGATTAGAACAGTTGTTGGCACAAGGAAATAACAAGGAATGGGGCAGAAAATAGGAGGCATTACAAGATTCTTCAATTTGGTGTCGACTTTCCAATTTGGATACCTTTCTCTACATATTACTTCAGCATCAATCTGCAAATATTTGATACTTTTCTTTGCATCTTAGTTTAGCATCATCAAGTTCAGTCCTGAATACTGCTTCCTTGTGATTTCAACCACAATGAGCTAGTCATGTGATACACAATTAGAGGAATACACATTTTCAAAGCATTATTCCAACTGTGATACGTTTCTCTACAGATTATTTCGGCATCAATCTGCATAAATTTGATGCTTTTCTCTACATCTAAGCTCAGCATCATCTCAGTTCAGTCCTGATTAGTGTTTTGATTATGGCTTCATCCTCAGTTAGCTAGTCAGTAGGATATAAATTGCAGAATATCCATTTTCATAGCATTAATCATCAAGTTGGCATTTTTCATTGCTCCTGAACAGTTAAAGACTTTAGCACGTAGCGGCTGCAAGAAAATGTACCCCGAATTGTATGAAGCTGCACGGTCATGTAATTGGGTTGTAATGAAAGGATTTTCAGACGACTTCTACTCTCAACATACTCCAGCAAAAGACACAGTCCTTCACGTATTAGCCCAGTCATGTGACTCTGCAAATGTAGTCCAACTTATCCTTGCTGGACATGGCCATTTGCTTATGAAATTGAACAAAAGGGGCGAGACTGCACTTCATTTGGCAGCAAGAGAGGGGCATTTGGGCATCATTCGAGCACTTATTGACTATGCAAAATCGGAAGCAGGATATTGTTTCCCCCCATGTTTTAGCAGATGCAAGTGGATGCTGAGGATGGCTAGTAAGGCTGGAAACACCGCTTTGCACGAGGCAGTTAGGAACAACTTCTATGACATCGCCAAATTGTTAGTTCAAGAAGATCCTGAGTTTTGTTATCCCCACAATTATGCTGTGGAGACACCTCTGTATCTGGCAGTTGAGAAGGGACGCCATAATATTATGGTTCTAATTTTGGAGTCTTGCAAGACGCCATCTTATCTTGGCCCCCGACACAAAACTGCCTTGCATGCTGCCGCAATTTGGAATTTGCCAGGTGACTTCATGGATAAGCATCAGTTATATTAACATCATCTGCACAACAAACCTGAGCTGCTGTTCCTTCTTTTTTTTTTTCATATTTTGATACAGGGGAATTAAATTTTTACCTTGTACAAAATTTCGACTTTAATGGCACAAGCGGTTAATGCATTAAAAGAAATTTATGGAAAATTAATCTGATAAAATACCATTTAATAATGGGTAAATTACTTATTACCCCTCTATAATTTTATACAATGCAGATGATCCCCTAAGGTTTTAAAATAGCCACATAACCTCCCGTAGTTTTATGTAAAGTGAAAAATGGATGAAATGCATAATCAGTTACGATATTTATACCAAACACAAACACACTTTAAAAGCGTGTCTAATAAAAGTTTAATATCCATGTAACTCCCTTATGGTTTATATAAATATCTACTTTACCTCTTATAATTTTTGCATTTATCTACGTAATCTCTCTATACTTTATTCAAAATGGTTAAACTGTCGATTGATTTAGAATTTAAGTAAGGGTACTATTGGTATTTCAATTAACGATATTATGTAGGCTATTTTCCATCAAGTTTTCATTTTACATAAAATCATAGGGGGTGAAGTGGATATTTTAAAACGTTAGGAGGTCATGTGACAATAGATGAAATCACAAGAAGATTATATATAATTTGCCCTTCAATAATGTATTCTGTATTGTGTGTACATATTTATCCATTAATCATAACACTTGTTTAATTTACACAGTATATGTAAGTTGTTGTAGTGTAATTGATCTTAATGGGCTAGTGAATAACAGTATTTTCATTTGTTGCCCTAAAATATTAGCTACTTACAGAATCCATGAAGCTGATTTTGGAAAAGCTGCCTAATCTTATAAAAAAATGTCGATAAATTTGGGTGGACTGCACTTCATTATGCTGCCAAATTTAATCATCAGGATATTGCAAGACTATTACTGTCCGCTAAGTGCTCTGCTGCCTATGTTGCTGCCAAGAATGATGACTCCAAGACTGCTCTACATATTGCGGTAATTCATGGACATGTAGTTTTGGTGCAAGAGATTTTATCCCATTGCCCAGATTGTTGGGTTCAGCTTACGGGTAAAAGTCAGAATATCCTTCACCTAGCTGTAAAGCATGAAAAAGGAGAAGTCTTGGAGTTTGTTTTACAAAATTCTTGGGCTTCTGATCTCATTAACCAAAAGGATAATGAAGGAAACAGTCCTCTCCACCTGTATGTTGCTACCAAAAACTTAGATGGGAATTGCCTTGTGAATCATCCTTTTGTGGATGTCAATTCTTTCGACAATTCCAACTCCACGCCTCTAGACAGAATAGTACGGCGTGATCAACTTTCAAAAAGACAGGTATAAGATGTTTTTTCTTCCCCTCCCCTTTGCATGATCATAGTGCTTATGAAAAGTTTTTTCAATTTTGCATATATGAACTTGAAAATTTTAAACTATTACAAGATTTTATTTTTAGAAAATAGGAAAGTTAGATTTTGTAAGTTGTAGAAAATCCTTAACTACTAATCCTCCCAAGTCTATCGTTACCATATTTGTGTATCCATAAATTTTAGGTATCTTCACCCTTATTTTTTAAGACACTCATGGAATTTTAATATCTCAGGCCATCGTGTCTGTGATGCTACTAGAGTTATTTCCATTTATGCAGAAAATATTGTGTGTTTTTTTTTACAATATTGTACAATTGTTGTACTTGTTATGTAATTTGGTGTACACTTAACCACATTATTGTAAGTCTTAATTTTAGTTTATTCTTAAATAGTTTTAATTTTGTTCATAAATACACTAGATATTTTAAGAAGTAGACCACTTTATGTAAGTGTACACCAAATTTTGTAAGAAATACAATAACTGAACACAACCTCAACAAAATGTAAATGCAATCGCCATGCGGCTCTTTATAAACCGAGAAGAACACAATATGGTTTACGAAAAAGCAAAAAGAAGAAGAAAAAAATGGTGCTGTTTTCATTTTATAGTTTTCAAAACTATTTTTCTTAAACTCATGTTTCTGGTTTCTTCTTTAACTGCTTTTTTCTTTCCTCACATTATATCTCCTTTAAATGTAAACTTTCTACTTTAATTTATAACCAATATTATCTAACCAACCTTGTTCAAGGTGAACATTAATTAGTCTGTCTAAAAATAAAAAAGAAAACATGACACTTCTAAGTGGAAGGATCTATAATAGTTTTGCATATTATCTAAGATCCTTATCTATCACATCTGCGAGTAGAGTTGGAAGAGTACACCAAGACTCGCTTCATATTTTAGCGGTCCATTGCAATCAGCGACCTCGCTGTGACAATTTTGTTTCTGACAGATTTTAATCAATGATGAGTTGGAGAAAGCAGGTGGCACTCGAGGGTATCGAAATGTTGCTACCGTAAAGAAGAACTTACGAGTATCTAATCCTGATGAAGTAAAAAGAGTGGAAAAATTGGCAGCGAATTATTCGATTGTGGCTACACTGATCGCAACTGTCACTTTTGCAGCTGGTTTTACAATTCCAGGTGGATACTACAGTGACGGTCCACACACAGGCATGGCAGTTCTAAGCAAGAAAGCAGCTTTTATTACATTTGTTATTTCAGATTCCTTGGCAATGTTCGCCTCCATAGCTGCAGTGCTTGGACTTACCGTGCTCTTTCAGACAAAAAATCACCGGCTTAAGCTGGCCATTGTCCGGATAAATCGGAAGCGAATTTTTGGGGCTGTGATGTTAATGATGATAGCATTTCTCACTGGCTTGTGCGCAGTGCTACCAAATTTGGCTGTCATGATCGTGCCGTATGTCCTCGCTGCTTGGCTTGGCGGTCTCATATGCTTCGCCTTTTCCGGAAAATTCGAGGGCAGGGAATGTACCTATACAACTAGATTTAAGCATAGCGAGGCTGACTATAGTTTATTTTACCCTCTACGTCTATATAAACGATGGTATCAGGATTTGACTGAAGCCGAGGACTAGTTGTGTTATAATTCAATGGTAACTTAATAAAAAAAATTTGATTCTTTTTTGGCTATCAGAACTTGCAGCTTCCTCCCACTTTCGTCCAACAACTTGGGTTTTTATTATGCTTTGGATTGGACTTGAAAATGTACGGTGTGATGTTTTCTTTTTGTATATATAAATAGACTCCATTTTCAACATAAGTAGATAACATGGCAACTCCATTCAGCCAGAATTTTCGTCGTCCTCTCACGTGCCCGGCATGTGGATTGGAATCATCATGTTGTTCGCGCATCGCGCGTTAGTTTTCCCATCTGGCCTCGCCTGCCAGTGTCCCATGTGCCCGTGCTTCCGTCTTTCTGATCTTCTGCTGCATTTGCTCTCTTCCCGCTGCATTCTCTCTTCCATTACATTCTCTTTCTTTCTTTTTTTGGTTTTTTTTGGGATAATGTTGCTCTATCACTTATCCGCATCCTCTGGAACCTGGTACAAAATTTTGTTGACCTCCTCCTTTGTTTTGTTGTAATAGGCTTTCTTCTTCATCTCCGGTGAGGTCAGATCTTCTCTTCGGGTTACCTCTGGTCTGCCCCTCTTTTTGTTTTTTTTGTTTTTTTTTTTTTGGCTAAAGTTCGTATTTCTTTTGTCCCTTGTCCACTGACGTGCAGTTTTCTCTTTTTTTTCTCATCCACGGGCTTGTTACCGCCCAAGGACGTGCCATCTTCACTGTTGGTTGCAGATCTTGTGCTTTCTTCTTTCTCTCCAGTGAGGTCGGGTCTTCTCTTCAGGTTGCTCTGTATTCATGTTTTTCTCCTCCTCTGTAAAAACTTGTTTGATGCTAATGGTTCTTGTGTTTTGTTGTGCAAGCATTTTTTTCATTGCTTTTAGGAGACTGGTTTGTGATTTCTTTGGTAGCTGGGATTTGGACTCTGGAAGCCGTTTGTTTGGCTGCCCCTCTTTACTTGTCTTTCCCTCTCCTCCCCATCATCAAATTCCAGCCACATCTTCTAATGTAGCTCTCTACTACTTACAGACGGAATCCGCAGTAGAAGTTTCTGAACTGAAAAAGGAAAGCTAATCTCAGGGAGATAGATAGAAGAGAAGGTACGATGGCGTCCAAGATGCAGAGTATCGCGGTTCTTCAGACCGAGAATAACCTTGCAACCGGAGGTATATTTTCTTCAACTTTCTTCCTTCTCTCAATATCTCAATCTCTCTCTTTCGCGCTCTTTTTTCTTTTGTTTCAATTAATCTGAATTTCTATCTACATTTCAACGGAGTAGTAGTATATCGTCCTTAATTGGTGCACAACATTAGGAAATCTTGTTCTCTTTCGTTGTTTCCCCTCTTTAATAATCGAACCACTTCAAGAAAAAAACCGACCTTGGGAATTATTTTGCCCTAATACCCATTGTGGGTTTCGTAAATTTTGGTAATTTATTATATTTAGCTAAGAGAATTGGAGGTTTTGGTATAATTTGTGTAAAATTCCACGATTTTTCGGCTAGCAGTTTGGGCTTTAGAATTGCTGGCTTTGTCTGAATTTTTATCTCTTCTATATTTAATGGATATCTGAGGATCATTTAGTATCTGAAACTAATAAATCTACCAACGCTTACAGTCATGAGTGTAGAGTTAACTAAATATGTTAACCTCTTTATGAATAACTTTTTAAGGACTTTTATGCTAATTCTTCGCATTCAAAAAGGAGATAAATGGAAGAAACATTATTTTCTGATATTAGAGACACCTGCGGGAAAGAAGATGATAGCAAGTTACTGACCCCAGGTAGTATGAGATGAGATTGTATTGTAATTGAGCAGGGTTCACTTATCATAATAGATTGAATTTTGTAGTTTTGAACTGATACATTGTTCTTTTGATTGACTGAATGGCAATTTGGGAGCCATGCAGTTTGTTTTTCTTGTTTTTATTTTCTTATAATCCAAACCTGAAAAGGATTTGTTTTTTTCTCTTCCGAGTGATTGTTTGGTTTTCCAAAGATTTAAATTTTCCAGAGATTGATTGTTTGGTTTTCCGAAGGTCAATCTCTTTAACCCAAGAAAATAATAATATTAAACTGAAAAACAACAAAAATGTTGTCTTGGGAAACTATTGTTTATTTACATGGCTTGAAAGTTGAAATTGCCAGAAACAAGAAGCTCACTTTCTCTGATGGTCATATTTCTTCATCAGGTTGACCATTGCCAAAAAGAAGAGCTTAGCTACAAGACATCTCATAGCAATATCACGTCTTATTGTTGAAAATTTTGATTTTATGGTAGTGTTTGTAGGTTGAGTTATGACCCATGATTTATGCTCAGGCCCTTAAAATGGAGATATATAGTTAAGAAAAGTATAAAGGATTGGGGTGGCTTCAACATTTACCTTCAACTAATTTTCCTTGTGTTTTTCCTTTTTGAATTCAGCTTTGTGGAAATTGTGGCTCCTGTTTTCTCGCGGGATGCTTGGCGATGTGTTTGGCATATGATTCAGGTTCCCTTCTCTAACTTTGTCATTTGTATACGTATGTTTTAAGCCTTGTTGTACCTCCAACTATTTTTGCTTTTAGCTGCTCTCATTAGCCTTGGTTCTTTCCAGCTTAGAGCTCACGCTGATTTTTTACTTTCAATAACATTTCTAGAATGATTTGGTGCATGGTTGGGGATTGGATTTTGCACTAAGGAGATGTGTGGAGGTCAGTTGTTTTATTTGTTTCTTATCACTGTATTATTTGAAAGATTTAGAAAAGAAGGCTTGTCTACCTGCTTTTCATATTCCTGTTGGAAGGAGAGATCTGCGGGACAGTGGCATGTAAAACAGATAAAATTGGAAAACATGTATGTATTTCAAATGGATGTCTGCGTATTATCAGTTTCATTGTAAGTGTATTTTGCCTGTGTAGCCTGCACATGAGAAAATTGATGTGGTTGACTCTCAGTGGATAGTTCATCAAGTTATTCCTTCTCTGGGAAGTCAGGTCAGTTAACTACTTTATTACAACCATCGGGACTTGCTTTTCCTTTTCCTAGAGGTGATTAAAATAATGAAGTTTAGTTGTTTGCAAATGTTGTTCTGTTCAACTTTAATTTCCATTTTTGAGCAAATGGTTCTTCATTTATAAAATAAGCAACTTTTTAGCAGCAACCCCCTTATTTACATTTTTTTCTTCCACGTCAATTATCCTACTTGTCCCTTGATCTGGTTTCCCCTCATTTAGATTTGTTTTGTTGATAATGATGCTAACAGCTTCAGCTTCGTTGATTCCAGGGTCAATCTGAAAATGGAAAAGCTCCTTGGCAAGGGGTATGTAAGCTGTTACTTGTTCGGTTTCCATTTCAACCTTTCTGTATATTTTTTTATTGAGGCCTTTTCTTTGTCCTTCGTTTTTTTTGCAAAAGTCAACTCTGAAAGCTTCTTCATCCAATTTTATGGTAATCTGAGTTATTCTATATCACCTACATTCTAACAATCATGTTTAAATTAGGATTCATAGGTCTTATATCTGCACTCTGTTTGAATTGCATGATTTTGCATTGAACTGAATTTCATTAGATTTGTCCAAACGTCAAGTAACTAGCTTGAATTCTTTTCTATCTAATTTGGTAGGTAAGAGAGAGGTGCAGAAGTGAGTGGGTGCAGTTTCAAGATCGCCTAGCCAATGCAGATAAGAAATATATTGAACAGTTTGGGAGGACTTTGAATTAGCTAATTTCTGGTTATTACCCGTAACTTTCTTCATTTTCTTTTGTCCTTTTTCCATCTTTGTATCATTGTACGGAAGGGTGTTTTGGAGCCCAATTCTCTCACTCGATGTCTTTAAAAATTTTTTTTTTTTGCTTCTAGCGGGCGGTAGCTGAACTTCCTGTAGTAGTGAAAACTAACGATCTGAAACTGGAAGAGAGTGATCCTTTTTTGTGTATAAATAGATTAGACTTTGCTTCATTTGACTCCCATATTGCCAATATTCATTTCCTTTTCTTTCTTTTTTCTTTTCCTTCTATTTTTTTTCGCCCTTTTTTGCCCTTTTCTATTTTCTTGAGACGGGGAGGTGTGGGTGGGAATCCGTTGGTTGCCTCATACTGAACTCACCCGCTTACAGTTGTTATTTGGAGAACCATCCCCTGTTACCACTTTATTGAGCTTATTACCATCAGTAGTGGGATTATATGAGTTGGAGTACTTACCTACTTTATGTTTAATATTTCACTATTAAGTTGCGAATTTGGAGACGGAATTTCTGTTATATGCCAAATTTCTAATATTCTGGGTATCTCTTTTGCAGGAACGAGGTATTTGAACAACAGAAAGTTTTGTATCCTTCTAAGTTTTCTTGCATTTGGGTATTGATACTACTCACCTTTATTGCTCTGACTCCTATTTCTTTGCACAAGTTCCCTTTGACCTGCAATGCTTCTTTACTTTTTTTTTCTCTTAACTTCTTGTAGCTCTGATTGGAAAAGAAATATAGAGACATTGGAGAAAATAGTGTAACCAGTCTGAGGACATTGATCAATCTTGGTTCTGAAGTGTACATGCAAGCTGATGTGTATGTCTCTTCATACCATATCAATGTCATTTTACTTGGTTGTTCATAGGATTAGTATACATTTGAAGTGTTTATCAAGATATGAAAGAATTCATTTCTTTTTTGTTTGAGGTGTGTGTGATTTATTATAACTATATATGTTTGTGTCTGCCTATGCACTGAAAAAAAAAAGAAAGTATATGGTACCTTAGTTGTTCCAAGTATGTCTTCAGCTATGGTGAACAAAGTGTTGTAGGTTCTTTGGGCTACGAGCTTGGGTTTTGGTAGTCTCAGTACCAGATGGAATCATGTTAGATTGATATAGGGTGCAAGAGAAGTGTTCTTTACTTGATGTGATGGTGCTTACTGTAAACAAATATGAGAGATAATTGCAGAAACAAGGCAAAAACAATCAATTATGGGGACAGTTCAAAACTTTAACAGCTTACGAATAAGCGATCGAACCTGAATTTATCTTTCCTGATTTCCAATT